GTCTGTTGCAAAATATAGTTAGAATAGCTAAAATTCATAATTACTTTTCCCTAACAATTAAGATTTTCTTACTTATTGCATGTAATAGAGGACAACTACTCCTTCTGAAAAAGGACATAAATGAGCAAAATAGTGCAATAATTTCACAAGTCCATCTATGTTGAAACAAATAAACCTGAAGAGATATAAATAGGAAATTAACCAGAATTTAACTGCTAAGGTTACTAGAAACTTTGTATTAGACAACCAGCATCTGTAGTAGAAGCCAAAAATATGTATAAGCATGTTTTGCTACTTCACGTACAAACCAGGAGTAATTTCAAGCTAAGTGCAGAACATGAACAATTATTCTGAGTTAATGCAAGCATGATAATTACAGCACTTGAAATGGAATGGTGATTGGCACTACCAGAGCATAAAGGGGTGCTAGTAACAAACATGGTAAGTCATTATCTCTTGTGGGAGGGAGAGACACAAGTAATTACTACCTGCAGATCACTGAGGAGCCAGTTGAGACATATTGTGAGGGAAATGGCAATGTATTATGAAACCAGTGTCTTTACTGAATCTGTAATTTCAGTATCCAGGGTTACACTTCAGTCTATCTGGAGTCATCCTCTCCACTTCCAAGCGTGCCTGTGGAACATACTGCCTGAACAAGGTCCTTGCGGGGAGCAGGACCGAGATGCCAGCAACTGCACAGCTGGTTTTAAGAGGAATGTTTCTTCAGTCCATTATCAGCTGTGTGCAAATTCAAAAGAGTCATTATGATCTTTTGTGGTCTGCTTTTATTTGCTCTTCATAAAACAAGTCTAAGGCAATAAAACCAGATACCACACCATTAAAATACAGCCTGGTTCCTTCAGAAATTATTTTAAAATAAGTGAAAGAGCCATAATGCAGCCTGTCTTTTGGTTGTTTCTGTCAATCACCTAGCAACAGAGTGACACAGTGCTCTATTAAATATACATGTTAAAACTCTTGGAGTACAGAAAATAGCAAATATATTTACAGTCAGACTCTGCTTTCATGATGATTAATTTTATATGTAAAGAACAGACTCTGCACCTACCACCCAGCAGTGTTTCAAAACCCAGGACCCCACTGCTGCTTTCATTTTTGGCCTCTTCTGAGGGGGAACGGTTTGGTAAGAACAAACTGCGTGGGAGTACTGCTCTCCCCAGGTTGGTATGGGTTAATGTCTCCATTTTGGTTTACTTACAAACAGTATTTTATCAGCCCAGGAAAACACTGTTTTATGTATTTTTTTCCCCTAGCTACAAAATCTGTTTAACCTCAAAAGCTCCTTAAAGACTTGTGACACTGAGAAGGCTCTTTGAAAAAATTACTTTCTTACTGGTGGTAGCAACACACTTACTGGCAGGATTTCGCAAACAGCTCTGAAGAACTGAAACATACTTATATATATATGTTATTACAATCTTATAAGTCCAAAGCTACCTGATGGCTCTGTTTTATAAGAGTCATTAAGTATCAGATACATTACAGCCTCCAGTGTCTAAGCCCCTGGGAAAAAAAAAAAAAACCAAAACAAAACAAAACAAGAAAACCAACCAAACAAACCCCAAACTTAATTTTTTTAGTAACCATGAAAATTCCTTCCCTAACCACAATCCTGCTAGGAAATAGCAAGAGGCCATCATACAATCTCACTCTATCAAGCCGGCACTTGGCTACCAGAGCGCTCCACCTCTCAAAAGTGATTTCACCATTCCTTTTGGAATAGTGAAAAAATAAATAAAAGCATGTCATCCTGACTGTAAATTGGTATTTCCTTTCAAAATAAGGTATTTGGATAATAAACTTGGCCTCAGATTTTAGGCTCATGATTTTAAGATCATGAAAACTACTGAAATTGCAGACTCATTAAGTGGCCTGGAATGAATCACCAAGCTTGAAGCTGCAAAAGGCATGCAGATATACACATTTCTTCTGAAAACAAAACAAAAACCCCCAAAACCTCATGCTAACTTTGAAAGACCACAAGTGATCAGATACTTGATTTTATTCCAGATAGATCATCTATCAGATCATCTATCAGAAGAACTTCCTAAAGTCAAACTGGAGTTTAGTCAGTGAGGAGCTTTAACAGCCTCACAGATAGATGACTTCTGGGCATTTGCTTAACCCAACTGAATTGGTGATTTGGGTCACACACTACACAAGGAATGTATTTCCTCATTTAAAATTTTTCTTTTTTCCTCAGAAAATGAAAAATAATAGGCAGGTGTTTGGAGCTTTTTTCTTCCTTTTTTCTACATTTATGGTTTTCCCTGCTGTGCTTGGTCACATACGTGAAAAACAGCACTGAAGAATCAAATAATCAGAAATGCATTTAAAATATGTTTTGAGCTAGGAAGGTTATATTTTCCCTGATATGGTCCTCAGGTGGCCTCATTTTATCTTTATGAAAAAAGAAACACCTAAAACCCCACATGTATTACATTCAGTCAGAAACTCTGCTACCTTTTATCATCGTTTTCTAACAGGATTACGATGCTCTCAGCACCATAGCTATTATGAGCTCTGATAAGGTTACAGCAGATACCAGAATGGCATTGTCCAGCATTCATAAAAAACAGGCTGAGCTTCACACAGCAGAAGGCTGAACTGTGCAGAGCACAGGCCAGTTTTGACCAGAAAAGAAACAAACACAGGGAAACAGAAAATAGGAAGGTCAGGCAGCTTCGTGAGTCTCATGCACTTTACCTCAATGGAGAGACCAGTACAAATAAAGAACAGCACACAAAAAAACAATATAAGAGAAAAACACTTGTATAGGGCTTTGAGATTTAACCTAGGCACATTGATTGATGCAAGTAGCAATTCAATTTCTATTTTCTATGGGAACCTGTTGTTCTAATAATATTGGAAACACTAACTAGATTGTAGACTCTTAAACTCTAGTATGAAATTACAGTTTGGTTGGTTGGTTGGTTGTTTTTTTTTCCCTGATCCTGTAGGAACAGGAAATTGTTTGGTAAAGTTAGAGGTTGTAATCAAACCTCAGCAATTCACTGTGATTGTTTTTTTTGGCATTTATAGTAACATACGCTTTTTTTAGTGTGCTGCAGATAGAAACACAAACTTATACCTACTTATTCCATTTTTCACTCAGTTCACAGAAGTCCTGGAATCCCAACTGCAAGACTTTTTTTTGCAGCTTCCTTTCTGTCCTGACTCAAGGCTGAGTGAGATCCAGATGGAATCTAGGTGTCAGAATAGACTGTTCTTTCCCATTCCAAATCCAAGTCTTCATAAACTACTGACACTGCTACATTAACCTATGCTTGTGCTCCTTCTGACATGCCTTCACAAGAGAACTGGCAAAATGGGAGAAGGCATAGTTAGGGAAGGGGAAAGAAGTACTGGTTAAAAAAGATGATGAATTCAGTACACTGATTTGCTGAAACTTTTTAAAAATATTTCAAGATTGTATGAGATTATATGCTTCTACAATTAGAAATGCAAAAGAGTCTGGCCCTAACCTAAATGAAGTATTTCTTTAAATTTCAATATATCCAGTTGTTCTTTCATCTTATGTGATGCCCACTTTTTATTAAGGTAATATTAATTCTAGTGAAAAAGGCACTTGACATCATCAAGGCATGTATAACATAGGGCAACGTAAGAGGAATAATATTCTAAAATGGCTCAGTGAAAGGCATACACCTTACACCACATAATTTGCAGAACTTCACATATTATTGTACCTTGCTTGATTCTATCTTTGAGACACAGTGACCTTAAAACATGTGATTTATTTAGCAGACTATGCAAACTTCGATAGTATTCAGTGAGAGTCACAAAGACATCCCTCTTACAGAGCTCAGCCTATCCACTGATCTAAGATCTTATCGTGCCAGTTCAATGCACTGATTTTTAGACATGAAACGTTTGAATTGTATTGTAAGGGTAATCTAGAAGTCACATACATGCAGCTACATTCATAGTCCACTATATTTTTCCTAAATGACTTCAGATATGCTGATGTCCAATGCTGTCTGGGTCAATCTGCTGGAGATAAGAGACAATGGCCTAAAGGATGGAACTTCCTACTGCAGATGAATCATCATGGAGAACTCATTCTCATGTGAGTAAAAAGATAGCTGTACCAACTCAAGTAGAAGAAGATAAACATTGTAGGAATTGGGAGATATTAGTATCTCATTTCTCCCTTTACCCTGTCAAAGATTATGATCAGAAAGAAAACACAGCAATGAGACTTATCCTTTCTTTACACAGATCTTTGTTAGTGCTAGAAGGAGGCAATGTTATATAAAGACAAAGTCATCACCTTCTGTGTGCTTCCCTGTGCCTAAGGCTTCTGGAGGGTAATATAAGATTTAATTTCAGTGACATTGACCTCTGCCAGGGTATATTGCATTATATTAAAGAGCCTTATTTAAATTAATAAAAAAAAAAAAAAAGTACATTAAACTAATTTAAAATGCTTATTTATCCAGCTTAAAATACTTTGTTATAGCACTTAATTCTTCCATTTTACAAAGCATTTTAATTTATTAAGGTGACTCTTGAGTGATGAAGGACAGTTGTTTTTACAAATAGCTCAGCCCAACAGACCAAAATTCAAATAACCCTTAGGAGTGTGGTGCTTTTGGGGATGTACAAATATGTCTTAGCAGAAACAGCATGTAAGTTTCTGTGTCTGAAGCTGCTGAAGTTTACCTCTCTCATGCCTCTGCTCCTCCCTTATTTTACTCATTTTAATATGAATGCACCTGTCAACATTTAAAGAGCCGTTATCTGTAATTATTGATGACAGCTAGAAGGTATATTGAATTCCTCTGAAATAAACTAATTAAGAACAGTTCTAGTGACTAGAAAGCATAAATTCAGCACATGCTTCTCTGAAGCCAATAATAACAGAAAAAAAAACTTATATAACTTTTCCCATCCATTATTACTGCTCTCCCGCTTTAATTAGAGGACCCGTAAATGACAGAAGAGGACATACATCAGTGGAACAGCAATTTACTTTTTGGAAGATGGACATAATTGCAAGCCAGCAGGAAGACTGTAATGAACGTAAGGAGAAAGAAAAAGAGAAATAAAGTAATACTGTGCCATGATTAAAAATCACACCGATTTACATAATCAGGTTTAGCATTAATTCAATTATTCCAGAAAGACAAACAACTGAATTCTTACTTACGACTGCTACAAAGTCTGATGTCCAGACTTTACAATGAGGTCCAGACAGCATCGTATTTACATATATACAGAATTAATCAAGACACTATAAAGCACACACTGCAATAAACAGCAGTCAATCTTGCCGTCCTCTACATTAAATAGAATATATGCACTGTTAAGAATTTTACTGCCAATATACTTGTAAAAGCCTCCTTATTTTCTAGAGAATTCAGCAGTATCACTGAAGAGCTATCTCAGATATCTGGCAAACAAGTAGGGTTTTACAATCCAAGGTAATGCTGCTTATCTCTAGCAAAATGAAAACATTCAAAGCAGCAGCTACCCTGAAAAAAAAAAAAAATAAAAGAATGTATTGTGTTGCTGTTTCATGTCTCTAGGCTGTGTGGAAATGGATACAACACTACACTGGTATTGTGGCTGCTGCATGACAAGGTCAGGTCCCCAAAACACTCCAGAAAAAGACATGGACAGGTTTGAAACATGAGTCCCCAAAACAGAATGACACTGTTCTAGATGAAAGCAGCTGAGAATCATTCAAACTGAAAGCAACCACCTACCAAACTGGTTACCACTCCCTTGCATGGATTCTCTTCACAATACCCGGGTTTAGTACTTGTTTCTGAGAATACTACTCTTAAAAGCTAGCAACCATGAACAGGAAGTTTTCACATGCTAGGAAGAAAACAAAACCCAAAACTTCCAAATCACTTCAGGTATATATTCACCATAGCAAAGAGACCTTACCTTCAACAGTAACTGGTTCTAGCATGAGAACATTCTGAAGGGAAATGCATTGAGGTACAGTTGAACCAACATTCCAAAATGATTCGTAACAGCTATTCAGGCCACAAAGCAGATGAAGGACTTAAACACCCAAATTATGCTCCTAAAAAAGAGACTACCGCAATACCAAGGGGTGTGCTCAATTAACCTTGGTAAGGAGAGCAAAAGGAAGAGACTTTTGCAGTAAAGCAGAGAGGACTTCCTGTTCCACCCCAGGTGTACACCTGTGACCAAGTCATGGTAAAGGAAAAAGCTGAAGTCGGGTTAAAGTCTAGGATGCCTATGTCAAACACCAGTGTAACTTCAGGGTGTATCTTCTGTGTTTTTAATTAAGGCCTGTATTGGGGATGCAGTTGAAGCATGTGCGTTTTGTGTCCAACTGAAAATAAGCAGGATAGAAATAATCACAAGAGTACCTATAATTGTTATAGTTCTTGGGTTATTCTTTCATCTTCACCCAAGACATTTAGTAAACTGATGTTCTTTGGTAGACTGAACTCCAACCTGTTAAATCACAACAGGTTTCAACAGTACCAACTTCCCTTGCCTGAATATTTTTGCTTCCCACTTCCAAAGGGAGGAAAAAAAAAAAAGCTTATTAACAGTCTGTTCCGTCTCTGTAGAGCAGCACTTTAAGGTTTCAGACAATCTAGGGGCTGAGAAAAAATATCACCTTTTGTGAATTTTCAAGACTATGTGATGTACAGTAAATACCATATTCTTAAATGGATTTATTGATAATTGCTTTCCTAGACTCAAAGTTAGTTCCTCACAGATCCTTTTTCTTAATACACATATTTTTGTGGTATTATATAGATTTATAGACACAAAAAGATAATTTTTTTTGGTGTAGCATGTGCATGCACAAACATACAAAGCTGCAATCAATCTGTCTTGCTCATACAATTTCTTAGGAGAGAGTAATAGAAGACACCTTTATCTATTTGTCACACAGTTGCTTGGTAAATAGAAGCAGGGCAGTACAAGCAATGATTAGGTCCTACTTATATACAGAAATGACTGCTGTGAAAAAGATAAATGTTAAGTGGTTAAAGGATATTTCTTTAATCTTAGATACTAGATGACCTTTTTGAGGTAATGAACATCACTCTTATCCTGTTTCCCATCTATTCATGATGTAATTTATGTAAGATACTTGCTGATATACTTCAGGTTCTTATTTCTCTGCCTGAATCAAAGTATGGCTGTTAGTACAGCTGTAAATAAATCTATTTGTGGAGAATTTGACTCAGCTTACAACATGTAGAATTTATCCTCAAACTGTCAAACTCATCTGCAGTCCCAAAATGCTCCTTAATGGCTAGAGTCTACTCACACAGTCAGAGAAGTAATGTACCTCCCCATTTTGGGACACACACACAAAACAATGAAACTCCATCCTCTAAAATAAAGCAAAATGATTGTCATTCTGACCAAGGAGACAAGCCTTAGATGGCCTACATTCCTCAAAAGGTATCAACACAGAACAAGTCTGAATGAGAAAAAAAGATACTGAGCACATAAAATGTTGGTCACACTGGTGAAATCAAATTTCCAGGTGTTCATGTGACTATCAGTGACTCAGTGATTAAAAGCATACTTTCTTCAGGAAAACATATGACCACAGCTGCTATCTCAGTTCTGGCCATAGTTACAACATGAGAAATTCACTCATATCCTTCCCTGCTGTCGTAATGCTGGCCCTCATGACAGTGAATTTACATGAAGAATAATTTGGCTACAGTGACAGCCTTTGGTGCAGTGTAATATCTCTCAGATGAAAAAGCTTCCCCTAGGGAATTAATGCTTACACATTTTCCATGTAATTTATAAGAGTAACATATAAAAATTACTAACTAAATAAGGTGGGCAGAGCTGAAGTTCAAGAGTTTTTTCCTCTACAGAAAAAAAACACATAATGACAAGATGTAAATAAGTGTAACTAACTTCCATCTTCCAGTTTTTCTAACGGGATCATGAGAACTTAAGACAAAAAATGTTCATTTAAATAATAAACCAGCTAGATTCACAGAAATTAGACAGTCTAAGGCAATATAAATGAAGACTGATAGACACGTAGAAGGAGATATCAAAGAGGAGTATTGGTTTAATTTTCTTCAGAATTAATATAGAAATATATGCATCTTTGTAAGAACTACATACATTTTATTTAGATCAAAGCATGCAATGAAAAAGGTATGATTCTCTACCATTGCTAAGAAACAAAGAGAGGACAATATTAACAGTTACGCTCATTTCATAATTTTCTGTCTATAGCAGTTAAAACAGCCTGTATATTAGAAGTATAATGAATCAGTACATTGGTGTTAAGTAGCTTGCAAATGTTTCAATCACTGGTTCTGAACTAATCGAAGCTTCTATCTTCTGAAGTTCTTCACTGCTTTCGGAGATGATCAAGTAGTTCAGAGTTTGGCATAATCTTTCAGGATCAATTCCAATTTCTGGCTCATCATGATGTTCCCCTTCACTTTAAGTTTACCAGAAAAGAATGCCTAAAAAAAGATGAGGGGGGAAAAGAAAAAAAAAGTATTCAACTGTTCACCCACAACCCAAGGAGTTGCCAGAACCAAACAAGCCGCCAAAGGTAAGTGTGGTTGTTCAGTGCTTAGGAGAAAGCCTTCAGTGCACAGTGCTCATTGGACATTTTTTATTAACAGAAAACTATCCGTGTACAATTTTAATAGCATCCAGAATCACAGTTTTCTATCTAGAGTGCAGGCAAGGCCAAGTCCATCACTCAGGGGGAAAAAAATAAACACAAAGAAACTTCAGCGACCTCCATTTCTTTTCTACATATCACACAGAGGACTTTTCCTGGTGTAATACAAACTTCTTCACAGAAGCTGATGGCAAGACTTAAGCAGGGCAGAAAAATAAACATCACAGTTCTCCCTTCTCTATGCTATACATATCCATATATCCTTATATGAAATGAGAAAATGGAATGAAAAGGCAATTTAATGAAAAATAAAGGCCTAATGAAAAGGTCAGCTACTCACACAAATTCTTAACAAGTCCAAACAGCAACTTGCACAATACACATACACACATAAAAAACAGGAACTAAACAAGATTTAGTTGCATTTGCAGAATCATAGATCAACCAATATTTTCACTGAAGTGTTGGTACATTACGTTTTTTTTGTCTCTACTTCAAAGAGCTGTATACCCTGTTTCAATCTAGTTCAGTATTTTTTTAAAACTAGTTTTGCTTCGCTGTGGCTTTGCAGTTTGAAAGCTCTTTGAAAGTTCTGAAACAATGTGATTTTGCATAGTTCCATTAACTTGAAATACATTCAAATAAGGAATAGAGAGAGCCAGCAGAAAAAAATTTGAATAGATGCTTTGAGCTTCTTTAGATGAAAAACTTCACAGAAACTCAAAGGAAATACTAATGTCTAAGAATAGATAATGTTCCTAAATTGCAATCACTGTTCTTTAGCATTCTGAAGATTATACGTCAACATATTGTTTATTTAGGCTTTATGCCTGCTATATACAGAGGGTCACAAAGGATTTTACTCATGTGGTGTGTAGGACTTAGAACAAACATTTGCCATCATCGTTAGTCTCCAATTTTACAATCAAAGACTCCAACAACTTCTGCTTGGGATCAAAGAGGAGGAACTGTTTGATTTATGATGAGCTTAATTAAAGTTTTCATTTGCTCAGGCTTTAATCTGTAAGCTGACATGCTAACTTTGTGACAGTTTAATTTACTTTTACACACAGCATTTTTATTAGTAAAATTAGTAGTTTTAAGCAGCTGATTACTCCAAGAAGCTAAAAGTGCAGACCCAGATCACATACCTTTCTTAAATCATTCTTTCCCTTACAAATCTACCTAGTTTGGGTGAATTTTGACCAGTTTCAATGGACCTACATGCATGCATTGTCTGATATTTCTCTTTACTGAAGTAGTAGAATTAACTCAGAATGTTGCAATACATACCAACTTCTTGCAACATGACCAATCAAAACAGCCTGAATGATCAAACTGACAAACCTTAACCTTGCAAATCATGTACTGTGAAGTGCCAGAAAACAACTTTTGTACTACCAGACTTTATGTCATTTGATGTATCTTTGTCTCAAAATGATAAAGATGGTATAAATTCCTCATCATGTCTTCTGACTAGTTCAGTATAAGGTAATGATGTGCTTATACCTCATCTGACTCTGATTTTCACTGTCAAAACACACAGCGTTGTGGATTTCAGAATGCAGTCATGAACCAGAGCTTCATTTAAGGCAAATAAGATGTTCCCATGCAAGTGAGTATGTCTGTGATGCACAGGTTTTACCTTTTGAGGGTTAGTCTTTTGTTGTACCACGTCCATGAAGTCCTCATCAGAGATAGTGAAGGTGGTATCAGCAGAACTTCTTGCAGGTCCTTGATACACTGCTCCAGAGCCATTCTTTAAGTCAATTGCTGAGAAAAAGCAGCAAAGATAGTTTTATTTCAAAATAAAGTTTTTCAGTCTAAAGAAGATTTTCACTCTCAAGAAAATTTTCAGTATAAAGAACACTACTCTCCTTACCTATTATTACAAATCATCCAGTCTAAACATAAATCTTGAGCTAACAGCCACTTATAAAATGAAAGGGTTTTAATTCTTCTTTATTGAAAGAAAATCATTGAAATTAGAATAGAAAAAAAAATTATTCCTGCACTAAGGGGAAGGGAGTTTACAGCGAGGACTACCATTTCTTGCATAGATGGCAAAAAAACATTTTTAAACAACACTGAAGATTCACAAGATACTCATTAGTGCAATTACTGCAAAGATGTTAAAGTTAGTAATAAAGCTCTCATGTTTTAAAACAGCATCTTACATTCAGAGAAGGCAAATGTGGTGGTGTTCAAACATGCTGCTGCATTTTCCCTGTTCTGCCCCACAGGCAATATAGCCTGTTCTGCTTCATGCAAAGAGCATTTAAAGCCTTGCCAAGTATCTTTCTCTTCTGGAAAGCCAAAAATTCCTCTAAGTGCCTGGAGCTTCAAAGTGTTCTTTTCCCACAACAAATGACCTGCCAAATAATCTATTACAATATTAACAGTATCAGGTATTGAGTCGTTTGTTTAGAAGAGTATTAGAAGAATATTTTGACAGGAGGTACGCTGCCAAATCATTCTCAGATTTTGCAAATCCGTCTTTCCCTTTATATCTTTTCTTCTTGGTTCCCCCATTTTTTAAGCACAAAAATTAATTATTCAAGTGGATGTTCCTGTAGGGACATGACATCTCTAATCACAGAATCTTGGCTGCCTAGACAATACTAATACTGTCAGTTAGTTTCTCTTAGTTGACAAATTTTTAGACACTGGCCTAACTATGGAGACTTACTTCTGCATAAACTATCTCATGTAATTTTTTCCAAATAATTTTTCTGAAACAGTTAGGTGAACTACACAGACTTGGAAGAGCTTTTGCTTGAGTTAACTCTTTCATTTTCTGAAATCTGTTCTAAGTAATACTTATCCAGCTATAACAAAACTAAAGGGGAATTAAGTGTACAATGATGGTCAGTGAGAAGTGACATACTGGATTATTATTATCCCCTTGATTTTAAGGTAAATGATAATTTCAAGAATAAGTTTAATGGACATCACTAATTTGATGCAATAAGAGAAGAAAGAAAAAAAAATAAATTACTGAGCACCAGATGAACAATCTATACCTTCTAAGTTTGTGGGTAGGATCAAAACCAGCTACAATATAATCTAATATCGTAAAGGGAGCCTTTAAAAGTTGCTTCTGTACATTATGTAGGAAGAGATTATTATTATTAAAAAAAAAAAAAAAATCTATTGAATCATGAAATGCAAGTTTCACAGTGGATAACAGCTCCTCAGATTAAGTTAACCAAGCTTAACTGTCAACATGCTTTTAAAATATAACTCTGCTCAAATACTAGCAGTATTATGAACCATACCAATGTAGCCAAACTGAGCTCCCTCTAAGTGAAACAGCACTGGTCAGCAAGCTCCACATACAAATTCACAAAACAGACACATGATTTTCTGGGATGCTTACAGTTCTTAATTACTTATTTTTAATTACTTCTGGATCTTAGAAGTCAAAAGAGCATGAGTCTCTTCTCGTGCTTCACTTTGATTTCATTAATCTTACTGTCTGTCCCTACCCTTCCTAGACTGTTCCAGAAGGAAATCCAGATGCTGAAAGCCCGACATAACATCTCCCAAAACACAAGAGACCCTCTTCTCCTTCTCTACTAAACATTGGTTGCAAAAGCAATTTTGATATATCTCACTGATAACACTCATCAAACAATTTTAGCAGTGTAAAGTTTAGATGACAAAAGTTAGAATTAAAAAGGTGTAGTGACTCAAGCAAGTTCTAACAACTCTTAGATTTTAATCTGGATACAGTACATACTTTACGTTGTTACAATCCCTGTTTTTTAATTTCTTCATTTCTTATACATGTTTCAAGAGCATTGCTTATCAATCCACATCTATGACTAGCTGTAGGCTCTCAAAGCACAAATATGCCTGTAAACATTGAATAATCACAGTACCATGGGCAAAACTGTTATGTTTAATCACATCAAATCTTCAACCCATCAAAAAATAAAACTCACTAGAAATTTCAGAAAAAAAGAGGACCAAATCAAATAGTATGTTATCTTCCCAAAAATATAATTTCCATTTCCTCTCTATGATTTTTAAAGAGCATTAAGATTTTTGCTATGGAATTTTAAAAAGAAAAAAACCAACCAAACAAACAAACAACAGAGCAGCCACAAAAGAGAAGAGCTCTGTGACAACAAATAGCGTCTTTTTCACAAAAACACGAAGAACCTTCTACTGTTACTTGATCCACCCTTTTTTTAAGCTTTATCATAAATAACTTATGACCTCTCAAATGCAAACAGTCAAAAAAAAAACCCAAAACAAAACAAAAGCCCCAAAGGAACTAGCAGGAGGAAATGAAATCCTGAATCTTGAAACCCTAAGCCCTAATGGGTGAATTGTGGTGAATCACACTGGAGAACGAGTGATCTAAAATACATGGTATGCTGTTATTTTAACGAGCGAAAGAAACATCCCTCATTATTGAGTATAGAAAACTACCCTGAAAACTATCTCCTTAATTTTTTTTTTCACGGCGGTTGGGGGCGGAGATTAGAAAAATATACAATTACTTTTCTCACCTCCTGACGTACACCTAGCCTACAGTATTCAGATGACAACCGAGACTAAACTACAGCACTGGCACACAGACAGATGGATATAAACTAGCAATGAATGAAATGAGCCAAATACCAGAACAGATTTCAACCATCGGAGCAGAAAACATCCAGCTTTCTAGAATAAACAGAAAGGGTGCCTTCTTGTAAAATACAACTTTATGAGATAAAGCTATATAATACAGCTGCCTGCTGCAGCAGGAAATGGTCTTGAGGCAAGTCTGCTATACATGTCTCCTACACACGTCTCCTGGATACACGTCTCTATGGTTATAGCTACCATCCCGTCACTGCAGCTTGCATGCTGCACCACAACTGCAGCAGCCAGCTTGATCATCACTTGGGACCGGCGTAGCTGTCAGTGCTCAGGTGGCTGGAGCCAGGCAACTGCCTCACACTGCTGGTGCAGCTCCACTGCTGCCAGTGACAGATGAGCAGCCGAAAGGTGTCTCCGGTGTCTTTGTTCCTGAGGACATGTAGCCCTCCATGGCTGCTACAGACACAGCTCTTCTCCTAGACATTCACATGGCTGATCCACTCCATGCAAAAAAAGAAGTTTGAAACACGGGCATGGTATTCCTCAATACTGTGTGTAGCAACACAAATTAAACTTAAAGACGAAGTCCCCTTTAAAAATCGGTTTCTTAAATATATAACATTTTAGTATTACATACTTGGCAGAAAAGCAGAATCAAGCAGTTTCAGTGGAAACAACAGTTATCTTTCAAATTTTTATTTTTACTTGTATACGTAAGTGCTATAATGCAGTAATTAAATATTTATGAATTATCATCTATAAGATGCTGTTGTCAGAGACATAATAAAAAGGATAAAAAAATCATACGTGTGCATACATATATATATGTGTATATATATATAGTGTAAAACACTAGACATTGACATTCTGTAGCAGATACCCAAACAGCCTAAAAACCTAAGATCTGGGGCACAGGTTTTGCTTTGCCTTCAAAGAGTGCCTTACCATTTCTAGGAGAGAAATATTAAGGAGTCAGACTATTTTTTGTTTGTTTTGTTTTCATTTCTATTCTGCTTTACAGAGGGTAACTGCAGTACAAGACTCGTCCTCAAAGCAAACGGAACAAAGTGTCACCCACTCTTCACTGCCTTAAGTCATATCGCATAATGAATTATTAAACGGTTTTACTGTAATTTGTCAGATGTTCACAACCAAATGTATGTAAAAATTTCTCCCCAGTTCTCTTAACAAAGTTTTATTCTTCTGAGAACTGGAAAGGAACAGAAGTAACTTCTGACTTCAGTAGTGCCTTCAGAAGCATGATGAAAAGCAACAGATGGGTAAACTCTTCTCAGTACTGTTCTAGAGAGCAATTAACTATCAGCTAACAAATCTCAATGGTAATGTCTCTCCTCTATGGAAAAAGAAGTTGAAATGAAGTAGCTTAACTCTAAAAAAACTCATAAATATTTTATAACCATTGAAAACAGAGGCAATTGTTGTAGAGTAATAAATATGCAGGAGAGAACAAAGCATGCTTTAGGCATTGAAGCCAAGTGGAGAAGTTAAAGGTGGGGGGAGGGTCCCTATAAGAATTTTGTTAAAATGTAAGAAAAGATAGCTCCGCTACTGCAACGTTTATTCCTTAGGTTTTGATACTGTGAAAGACTGTACTGCTTTATCTTCTTAAGAGGATATTCAGCATCCTCTTAAATTAGAACACCTTGCTTCTATAAAGAACTGCCACTAATTAAGACCAGTTGTCCAAAATTTCACGTCCTGAGTGCAAGATGAAAGGTTCTACACCTCCCCATGGCTTCACAACATCCACAGAGAACTACATAAAAGTAAAGGTCATTGTTAATTGAACAGACTAGTGTTACTCATATTAGTGCTACCACTGAGAAACGTCTCTGTAACAACAAAAGCTAAATCCAATTCACAAATCCCACTTCATTTAAAGTAATAAACAAAAACCTTGACTTACTGCAGAGAATAGAGATCAAAAGCTTACAGCTCCAATTAAACAAAAGATTAGAAATAAATATAAATAAATAATAATTTTAAAAAATGTTTTGATTCCTGGAAGTTTGGAAAACATCAGAACAAATCCACACATGAGAACAAATTTCACAGCGGTCCTTAATACTGCTGCTTTCTCTCATTTGTTTCCCTCCCAGACTCCTTCCAGATCTTAAGAGGCTCAAGGACACTAGCAGAAGATGCTGGAGCTACAATCGTTGAGTAAGACAGCAATGAGCTGTGGGGCCCAGATTCTTTCTTGTGCTGCAGATTTCACAACAGCACAAAGCTGTGCAAAAGTGACAAGTCAAAAAATTAAAAGACAAGCCGGCACATCTACGTAATAAATTTAATAAAGGAAAACGTCCTACTAGGTAGCCCAAGAGAACCACAAACACTGCTTGTAAAGGCCTGGGAGGCTCTTGGCAAGAGAGGCTTAAAAAGAAGATAGATAATGAAACAAGTGGCATCAACTCAAGGCTTAAAACAAATAAAAAAACTCTGCCAAAATAATCTAGCTCCTCACATTTCAGTTGGTTCAATGACAACGTGTCAAGAATTTTGACGATATATTGAAGGACTATGCAGTATTTATCCACAGGAACCAAATTTAAATTTACTTTAATGTCGTATTTTCCTCTTTGCTTTATTGTACATTATGAGATCTAGCTCTCAAAACAGCAATTTACTTTAAGAAAAGAGAGAAAGACAATTACAAATTTTTATAATGTAACTTAGCATAACATTTACAAAACTGATTTAAAATTACTGTACACAGCAGATCAACCAATAACGAGTGGGAAAATTTACAAGTAGTGTAAAGAAGAGCAATTCTACTGACAGAGTTGACTAACACTAAAATCTGAAGCAGGTTTGAAACCAGTCAAAATAGTGACACATAATTAAATTCAAGCTATAGCAAAGGTAACATCTTACTATCATCTTCAAGTTTTAAAGTAAAAATTAATTTGTCAAAGGCTAAAATTTCTAACAATGTACAGAAGCTTCCACTCCATTAACAGAAAAAGTCAAGCATTCAAGTCAGTAAATGGCATTGTCAATGTTGCATATTCTAAATTGGCTGTTATCATTCATGTGCATTACAAAAGTCTTGGTGATGAACATATAAAGATCTGTCAAAAATCTTTTGGGTTGTCAACAGTATCTGAACTGGAAGAAAACTGTCTTCCTTTCAATGCAAAGCTATAAACTACTCTCTTCTTCCACAATCCTCATGCAAAATGAATTATGCTAGCATCTGGTAGAAGAGACAGTACATGACGATGCTCTTGAATACTGAATAATAATGTATGCAAGCAAGCAAAAAGAATTAAGCTGGCAATCAATTACAAATCTTGAATGTTTGCCTCTGGAAGGTCTTTTTTTGCTCTGTCTTTGTTTGAGATTTTTTAAGTGACCATAATAGTGTTTAAAAAAATTCCCTGTCCATCTGTGTGTCGTCCACCCCCCAAAATTCCATCATGCAGATACATATACCTTGCCATTAGAAATCTACCATTAGAGTTAGACAGCAACAGTAGTATGCTATTAATCCACATAAGGACAAACTGTGAGAGCTGACACTACAGTTGTCACAATTGCTAACGCTCTGCCAGTGAGTTTACATAACTGTTTTAATTTTTTTATGTTGCAATTTCTTATTTAAATTATTAATAAAAATTAATTTTAATTATTTTATTTTAATATTAACCAACTCCTGCTTCTTTATGCTTTAACTGCTTGAAACTTCAAAGACATAAAAATATTCAGAAAACCACCAGATGACACAGAAAATTCTTTGAAATGTGATATACAAAGGCAGTACTTGTATACCAATATTCCTAATGAGAAAAGTAAGCAACATTTTCTACAGACACCCTTCTTGTCACTTAGATATTTAAATTCAGCCTTACATATTAACTACAACATAGAGACTACAGTAAAAGTTTCTATACAGTACATAAACAACAGCCACTGCTCTGACACCTAAGCTTGAAGGAACTGACCACACTACACAAAAATTCACAGTAATTTTTCCAAGATTTTGGAAAGGTTTCATTTAGGCTCCTACTAGTAGTCAGCAGCAGGAAATGTTTAATATATTAGATTAATTCCTCCACCCTCCATTCCACAGGGAGCTTTAAGTAGTTCCAAATTCGATTAAAAGTACAGATACTGTTCACTGCAACATAAGCAGAAAGAACTGGACAAAGTAAAGTTATGTCTATTTAATCCATTTTAGCTGGGGAAATGTGCATTAGAAGAAGGTGCTACTGTCTTCCCACTGCTTCAGCAGGAAACAGAAGAGAGGACAAGCTCTGTTTGAAAAACAGAAAAGACTGACTCTTGATTTACTCAAAACAGGAATACTCCTCTCTGGATGCAATGGCAAAAGCATCCACCTGTTGTCTCTCTAATAAAACTTGGTCTCATGAGGCAGGTAAGATCACTGCTCAGGCCTAAGTCTTTAAGTGTGCCTGTTCTTCATTGAGCAGTTCGCAGTTTAAGGTCTTCCCGAGTAACGGATTTTATTCATGATTTTAACACTCCTCAGCAGATTTTTCTTCCATTGACTGGTCCCTCCATTCTTTGAACATACATAATACTGAGTTTAGGTGACAAACAAAGCAGTTTAAAGACGATAAATCATCTTGAAGATACTTTTCCAATTGTTATTATAAACATGACCACCACTTATATTACATCTAGTTACACATGAAACAATAGACATGACTGATGTAGTGTAGAGTGATTCTCTAACACACAAGTATCCACTTTAAGTGTTTTGGAGTTTAATTTATGTGCTTCTAATGTATCTTCTACACATGTAAGCAAGAGCACAGGAAATACTTCATAAGCCTTCTGTCCCGGTTCAAAGTGTAACCATAATTTAAATTATGGAGTGTAAATGTGGAAAACTGCAGACAGTAATAATGATTAGGTGCAATAATGAATTTTAAGACAGATCTTCTGAGTTGAATTATGTCATATTTACCGCCCTCTCATTTTGATGTATAGGTACTCAACCTACATAATCTTCACTGGTATATTCAAGACATTGATATATAAAATCAATGTGGAAATCACCCTTTATCCCCCAAAACTTGCTCAAAAGGCGATACAGGTAGAACAGAACCATCCTGATAAATCTACATATGATATTTTTCTTGAAACTTAACAGCAGTCTTGCTACTCAGAATCTCTGCTGGTTAACATTAGGAAAAGAGAAAGTGAAATCATAGGTTTCTAAACTGCTCTGTAAAAGGAAGAGTAGTTTCTTAAACACAATAACCATTTATTGAGAGCAGACATTCCAAAGATTTACCAATAGTTTTAAAAAGCCACCGTCTATGGGAAAGCACAACGCAGGCCTTATCTGACCTACCAACACGTCAGTCTCTCCCCTCATCCTGTCAAAGGGCAGTCCACCTCATCTGTATCTCCCCCAAATCTGTTCTGATTGGATCCAACCATTAAGGCCAATCAAAATGAAGCAGTCTAAGTGACAGACTTGACCCCAAGACTTGCATTTCTCCACAAAAAAACTGAAGGCCTGGAAGTTACAACCTGACTATGGTTTATTCCTTTGGAAAAACTTTACATTCTATTAACAGATCACTTAGGATACCTTAGTAGAAAAACCTGAATATTTCCAAAGACAATGAAATAGATCCAATTACTAAAATTAGACTGCTTTTTGAAAAAATGCATGTCCTTAGAAATTGAACACAAGAGAATTTAAGGAAAGTTTTTTTGAGGAAGCAGTTTTGTCCCCATCAGACCTATTCACATACTTGTTTAAACCATGTTACCAAGGAACACTTCCCCTCTGACCCATTGCTATTACAAGTTTTAGTGTCTCTTCATCGCCCCAGTCCAATGCTTAAATGATGGGTAAGCATCATTATACCTTCATTAAGCCTTGATCTCGGAAAATTCAAATGGAAACAAATTGGGCTATATTTTTACTGAAGTCACAAGAACAATGCAGTAGAAATAAATATTTATTTGTTTTAGATTAGTTAGTGTGTATATCACCAGCAGACTAATTACTGTAACACAATGCTCCTAGCAGGTTAATTTAGCCTGATTTTCTAAGTGTAGTGGTGATCTATTGTGGAAAATGTAAACAGAAATGCACTGAAGCTCTAGAGGATGGGTGGCCTATGCCTACAGCTAAGTAGAGAAGTTACAGAAGTATATTCCTAGAAAGGTTAGTAACTACAATTATGGAACTTTATCTGGCCTCCTTGTCACTCATGCATTCAGATTTTTAGGTCCCAGTGACTATTCATCTACTACTTTATGCTTATTTTCACAAAATCAGTTTAAACAGAATGAGTATAATTAATCTCACTTCATTAAAAAAATGCATCAGAGCATTATATAAAAAGCTACAACTTACTCCACTGCATTGCTTTTTTTCCATCTTTAGTGATGTCCCATTGGAATATGGCGTTTACTTTCTTTACCAATTCATTTCCAATCTCTCTTATGCGGCGACCAATTTCTTCAAACACAAGGTCACTCTGCAGCCCTGCAGTCTTCAAAGAGAGCGAGTATGAAGAATTTAAAATTGAAACTCTGTTAAAAAAAAGTACTAAATACATCTATTAGACACTGTGTCCAGGACAGTGTCTAATGCAGTATTATTAAATGCAATTGAGATTTCTTCCACCACAAATAATCACCTCTAGCAACTGTCAGCATTAAAGAGTACATTCAAACAGAAAACGCTTCATGGACTCTTCCTTGAGAATTATTTCAAATCCTGCTTTTGCAGGTTTTGTCATTTATCACTACAATTTAAGGTATGTTTTACAATTAGGGCTCTAAGGGCTTCTAAACTGCCCTTTATTCCCTTTGGAGGATAACCATTGCCACTTTTTCCATGGTGAATCACATGTTAGTTTTTAGAACCAAAAAATGTTTTTACCAATAAATACATTACTTTAACTTGACATGGAAGATGTTCGAAACATACCACACTATGAACACAGTCAGAAATCCAGTGCAGACACAATGTGTTTATCATTTAAGAATAGGATTAGCTGCATTTACATTTTCAACTTTTACAAACACATTATTTTGCAAGCCTTTCATTGTCTTCCTTTAACAAGTATTTGTACTGGATAAAATGCTACACTTTAAGAAGCTACCCCAGCGACATTTTTCATCTAACAAGAATTGAAACAAAGAAGATCTCGTAGCTTTACTTGTTCTGCTTTACGTATCTGTACACCAGAATGCAATACCTATGCTGCTATCTTGTCACCACTTTGGTTAAGCCAAACATTCCCAATGACATCTAAATTTGCCAACCTTCACTCACTCAGGCTACTTTCCCCTTGGTGGATGTCTGTCTCTGTCAGCAAACTTCTGCCAAAGCACCTTAATTTCTCAGAGTAAGCTTAAAGAAAAAAAAAAAATGTTCTTCCCATGTTAAAAAAAATTATGCCTATAATTATTTCACTGAAAAGTTCTGATGCTTATATGTTTGAACTTCAAATGCAGATGTGGCAACAGTTCAGAATGTTAGAGGACTAAACACAACCAGTGAAAAGGAACAGGTTCCAGGAATACATCACAAGCTTTATATGAATGTCACTACCTCAGTACTTCATAAACTTCAATGCATTAAAGTTTCATCCTTTGAAGGCAGGAATCAATGGTGATAAAAAGATATAGTTTATTAAGGCAATGCACTGGGCACCTGTTTCTTTTAGACCACATTAAGAACACAGGATATCCTCAGCACTGCACGCACAATTCTGTCTTTTGTGGAAAGTCTTAAATACATTAATGCAGAGGATTTTAAAAAATATATACAGTATAAAGTGCATATCGTGTTAGGTCTAACCACATGCACAAACAGCTGTCAAAGCCTTCTTTGAAAATGATTCAATGACAAAACTGTTCTTTTCTACGAGTATGTTATCTCATTTTCATTTGTTTTGTTCTTCTAATGCCTTCCTGTCACCCTCCCCATGTCCCTCTGAAGAAATTAGAAAGAAAGGTCACGCACTTTTACAACTTACACAGTTTGATCTACAAAATATAGACAAAAAGATTGTTTTACAGGCACAGCCCCAAATTATAGAGACTATATTTCAATCTTAAATTATCGAAATTTTCAAATTTTCAAAATTTGTGGCCCTCACTGGTGCATTCCTCATTTGTTTTGTAACACGCAATGCAATGCTTATCCTAACAGTTCAGCTGGCATCAAGCGCTTCAAGCTTCATCAGCCATCCTGTGTATCGTCTTAAAATGTCTGTATTTTACCCCTCAAATAGATCCATGAACTTCTGTATCTTTAGCAATGTGTGTGTTCACATTTCTGAACCCATATACTCATCTGAGTACTGCAAATAAGACTGGTACGTGATCTAAGTATTTTTTCCATGTTTTTCCAGAAATAAAGCCTAACTATGCTGCTTTGCAAGCTAAGACTTCTATTGTTTCCCCTCACCTTCACAGACTCCTGAGCAGATGGCTTATCCAAGGCTGGTACTATATCCACATAGCCCCCTGCAATAGCAACTTCTCCAGTCTCTTTGACCTGTGGTGGGTGAAAAAAATTACATTAAAGAGGTAACATATTTGCCAAAAGTCACAACAGAAGGGTAATGAAGGAGTCTCATTTACATTTTAAAATCAGAGATGGAGAAAAGAGAAAACATAAAAGTTCCAGAGTGAAAAAAAAAAAACCACCCCATAAATGCATTGTAGCCTTGTGGCAAGTTAGTATACTATGCTTTTCAAACAGCTCTTCAAACAAAATATTTGTTTCTTCAGAAATTACACCAAAAAAAATGTTTTTCTGTTCACAAAATGGTAGAAAAACCTTATTTATCTGAACATTTACCTCCAGTCTTATAAGTTAATGTTAATTCATAGTTGTGAGAAAGAAGTTGTTCTAAAATGTTTTTCCTTGAGGTGGATCTGCAATTAACAGGAGCTCATCCAGACAGTTTCACTATCTCCAGGTGCCTTACACTGCAACTTGCGCTAAAAACAACTTTTTAAGTACTGTAAAACTATAAAGATTAAAAGAAGAAAAATGAAAAATACCTGAATTCCCTTCTGGTTTTCATTTTTTAAAATAGTTAAGTGAAAGAAGAAAATAGGTTTCATTTTGGCATTGTCTGTTTAATGGGTCTGACAAACCATTCTGACTTATGGCAGCAAACAGAAGATGGCAAAATGATTCACTAACAATGCCTATAGAGAGCTATATGATAAATAGCCAAAGCGAAGGAATATCCAGTATCACAGCCTAGCTTATTGCAGAGCTGAAATTAATACAGAAAGACTACATAATAACAATTACTCAAATCATGCCTAACAGCTTGTCACCTGCTGCCACTCCACTTCAGACAATGCTTAAAATGGATTTAAACCAACATATCAAAGTTATGTATCTGCTTTTAGTTTGATTTAACCAGAGTTTATTACAAGTACAAATATGGCTGTACTTCAGACTAATCTAACATGCAGTAAGAAAAAGAATTCTGCACAATTCATAACTCTTGAAACAAGATGGTTTTCTATAAAACTGTTAAACACTGCGATTTCTGTCCAAAATAAGTTACTTCACACTTGTGGAAAAAAAACTGTAGCAAAATCCCCCCAAACTCTACATATTAGCAATGACTAAACCAAGCATAAAAACAAATCTAGCCTTTAAACACAATAAAACACCCCACTGTTCACAAATTCCAACAGGCTCGGAAGCATACAATTAATTCTGTTTATTTATACTGTAAATGCAAACCCTCAAAAGTAAATACCTGAAGACTAGAAATTCTGTCAGGACTGGGTGGCAGTACCTTTTAAATATAGCTATGCCATCTCCAATACAGTAATCTCCAAAGCTCATTTGAGGCACCAAACTGTCTTGTTTACTACCAGTAACCAAGATGGAGAGCTGGTACATAGTAGCCTCGATGTTGTTAACATTCTGAAATGCTATAGCTGCTAACACTCATCAGGTTTGCAAACAAAATTTACCTCCTTCGGTCAATATTTATTCCACAAAGCTGTATTCCTGTGGAAACAGCAATCCTATGTCCTTATAATGACTCTCACTTGATTTTGTCTGCCCAATCCTCCCTGCAGCTGCAGCTATCCCTGATGATACACTCACAAATCAACACTAGCAACATTTTTAGAGAGATGGAGTTGAAAAACTTTGGCCAGTCAAAGCAATGTCAATTGCACCTGCACAAGCCAACACATATTGATATATGTGTTATATAATGCTACTGGTAAATACCAGTAGCAAATTACAGTTTCAGAAAGTGACGGTGTCATAGGATGCTACAACAGAAGTGATGAGAATTTACTGTTCACCTCTACATGGAGTATTTTACTCTTAGCTTCCAGTAAGTATCCTACCAAGTGTAGGAGGGGATTACAGGATAGCCACACAAAATGCTAACAGCAAGGCCAAAGAAAAAAGAATAATGCAAAACCTAACTTTATAGAAGTGTAAACTCTTTTCTGTTATAGTTACTGTGTTCAACTGCTATGAAGCTTCCACTTCTAAGCACGTTGTTCTGTGTAGACGCAGCTTAAGTATAACTCAATTTAAGCTAAATTTGTAGTTTGCATGCAAAAACTGTCAGGAGCTGATTTCAGATAAAGAAGTGTTAAAACAAGATGCATACACAAGGCTATGATTCACTGCAGAAAACAAGTACAAATTATGCTGACCTGAGAATGACTGCTTTTTGCTCTTTCACAGTGGACAAACACAGAAAATGCAACACAATGAAGGGAATTCTCATATTATTTAATATAAGGGGTGTATTAAGTCCCATGAGTATAATGGTATTTCTATTGGAATCTTAATGACACTGTAAAATAAGTAAAAATATTTCATTCTATTCTATTTCTTTACAAAACCACCTTCCATAGTGTGCTTGATGAGCCACTTTTTTTGCTTTTCCTCATACCCCCAGACTTTTAGCCAACACATCTTTCTCTACAGCCCATAAAGGTGAGTGTGTTCTGACCTTGGTCTGAAAATGGATTCTATTTCCTTCCTTCCACATTTCTGTTTGTAAAGTTTGCCCCGGAAAGACTGGTTTCGCAAAGCGCACCTAAAAAAAAAGAAAAAAAAGTGTGGGTGTGAATAGATCTGTCATACGTACATGCAAAGCTTAAAAGCATAGGCTGTACTGAAATGAGACAAAGCAACATCAGTCAGCTAGCAATGTAGAAAGCATAAATATTTAAGTAAACATACTGGATTGAGTCAACAAAATGCATGCAGCAATAAGTAAAAGCAATTGTGGCAGTTAAGACAGTTCGAAAGCCTTTTCCCAATCTAAAGAATTTTTTGGGGCACCAAAACCAGATAAATCATGAAAATTAACTGCAAAGAATAAACACACAGACCTTGATTGCCTTGAATCTCTTCACATCATTATTTGCAAACTGCTTCAAAACATTTCTAGCCGCAAACCCAAAGGTGCATAGTCCATGAATTATTGGCTTCATAAATCCTATTTCAAAAAATAACATTTTAGCATTTATAATAATACGAGTTTGCATACTGTTTCTACAAATATCTATACTTTATTCATAGCATTTTCCTCCAATAATGTTCTTAATCCTTTCTTAACCTAATTTATCTCACTGAAAAAGTGTCTGTTATCATTTATTGCTTTCTCTACTATGAGGCAAAGCAAAGTGCTCACTGAGAACTGTCATTCCAACACTGCCTATGCTATGTAAGACTCACTGTTCCTGCCTGTAGAGGTGACAAAATGAAAAGTAAGGATATTGGCTGTTTTACAATAGGTGCACAGGCACACCAGCTACACAGTTACACGGAAGTATGCATATCCAGGGTAAGAGGTAGTATAATAATCAAAAACTGCTGATGCTAAGATTATTTGATGCTCCTCATTTTTAATTTCTATTCATGGCTGCCAAAGGTCTTCAAATGTAGTGCACACTTCAGGATTAACTTTTGTTTATTTAGAAATAGAAAAAAAAACTGAAAAGATTTCAGGCATTTTGAACACATCCAACAAAAAAAAAGAGACACACAAAAAAAAATTACAGTGTTTTGTTTATACTGGCATTTTTGGTCAGGTTACCTCACACTTCTATGCTCTGGAGCAGGAGTTGAACCTCGGCAGATGATAATCTTTGTATTGAATATTTTTTCAGTCCTGTCAAAGTCTGACAAAATAAACCTTTGAAAACTGGCCTGAGACTTGTTGAAGTGCAACAGTTAAGTTTTAAAGACGGTGCTTGTACTGAGTATGTTTTGATCCCTTAACAGGTTGCTCTGACCTGACAGCATGTGAACAGTAATTGATCACACTTGCAATAGCCCATGGATTTGAGATAGGTCTGTCCAGCTTTGGCTCTGAAACCAGTTGCTTTGCCTGGAACTCATCTGCCACTCTTGGCTGCCAGTCGGTTTTTCCTGAGCTCTAAACTCCTCATAGCAACTACACAGCATGTCCCAAGGGACAACAGCTGGGAGAAAAAAGCAAAAGCAAAATCAAACAAAAAGAGCAGATGGGAAAATTATAGCCTGTAGAGAATCACAGGATGTAGAAGGAGAAGAAACTACCTTCAAGACAAAGACAAAAAAGCCATCAGGACTCAATGCTGTGGAAGATGGGAATTCTGAGACACAGCCCAAAGGAAAGACAAGACTAGCAGGAGTAAGGATGAGAAACAGAAATTTTGACTCAGGAAGTTAGGAGAGGAGACACGACAGAAGGGCAAGCTAAAAGTAACATGAGCCTGTTTTCTTGCTCTAAGTATTTCACTCCGATCGTTCTGCCATTTCTTTCCTTCTCAAAAAAATGTTTGAATAGGCACACTTTTAAAGTGCACTCTTTTTTTTGCACACTGTGCATGGAGTATTTCTGAAAGCACAAAGATAACATGGAGTCAATTTTAAAACAGATTATTGGCATTATTGTACCAATATCGGTATTCAGTATCTCTCATACAGAATGTTATAGTGACATTTAGCTCTTTAAAAGCTTAGATCAATTCACCATGCAAGAACATAAAACCACTACTATTTTCAGAAGTCAGAAACCGACAGATATACAGTTCTATTCTCCCAGTATTTTCCTTATAAAACTAATGCATAGTCAAAGAAAAATCCATAAGGCAATCAAGTTACATTTATCTAGACTAGAATGGAAACAAAATACGTGTTGCGTTCGCTTTCTAGTATCTCAAAATACTCACTAACTACAAGAATAAAGGCACAAGAATATAAACAGGTGTTTTCATGCAGTATTTCTCTTCTGACACATTACCCACAGGAAGGCTTAACAATAAACCTGGAATGACCCGAGTGAATTACACCAAATGCTTGCTTCGTTTGCATGCTGGTGAGAGCCAGTCAAAGAGAACATTTACAGAGATTAAAGACAAGAAGGTGTGTGAATACACCCAATGAAAAAAGCTTTTGTGTAACTATAAAAAAATATTTGTGGAGTATCCCTACAGTCATCTGCTTCGTCTGAACATACATTTAGTATAGGTATTTGAGTAGGAGACAGTCACAGTTCCAAAATCAAATACAGCAGTTTTCTGTTCAGACAAACAGACTACCTCATGTACAGAGTTAATTTCATTTTTCACTGGGTCTAAATGCCAGTGCTCTCTGTGTGAGCACGTAGAAGATTTCTACTCTTCTTTTATAAGGTTTTTATAGGATTATCATAATTATTTTAAACACCAGAGTTTCAATTCTAAACATGTACTTTTCTCCTCCGGCATCTTCAAGAGTAATTGGGTGATTCCATCTAAATATTTATCCAAAATCATCACCTGAACAAACAAACAGAATATTTTAACAAACTGTGGAAAACTCTTTATGGACTCTGGTATTTGATTATCATTATTTATTAACACAAATTTACATAGAAGTATACAAAACAGTGTTAACCAAACAATTAGTATGTATTTATGAAATGAGACAATTTGTGCAAGTATGTTAAGCGTGATCTGAACAAGGAAGCAGAGCTCTGCTCTATTTATCTTAGTAAGAACACCATACAATGATACTACTATATTAAAAAGAAGTCAGTGGAAAACTGCAGACCAGTTATTACAAACCACTATTCTCATGTAGTTTATGATGACAGCATACATATTCAGGAAAATTTAAGTAAATCAAATTGCTGTCTGCCTGTAGTAATCACTCTATACTACTAGCAAGACCTGAAAAGAACTCCGAAAAATACCTTTACAACAGAAACTTAAGAAAAGAGACCCTCCTTTAGTAATTACAACTCTGCAGGAATCAGTTAATGTAGCCTATGGTCTTGCTTTGGCATGTAGTATCACATAAATGAACAAGCTACCAAGCCATCAACAGGCACAGTTAAGCAATTTTATAGGAATGAGGGCCTAATAAACTCCCTCTCTCCCACGCTCATGAGATTTCTCGGGATTGGGAAGACTAAACTGAGGCACAAAAAATTCCATCAAGACCAACATAATCTCGAAATTAATTAGATGGAAAGAATTATCTATCAAAGAATTTATGGAATTCCTTCTGAAGCTTTTGATAGTTAAATATTTCTGCTTATGAAACAGATTGTGAAGATGGGATAGTGGCAACAAAAAACTCTAAAACAGAGTAGGAGGCAGGTTTCCACTGCAGGTATAGTCTAAGCACTGTTCTGCATTCCTAGCTACAAGAAGCAGTGCTTTAGAGTCAAGTGTCACACAGAACTTTGAAGACATCTAATGGTAACTCTAAGAACTGTTTTTCCAGCTTGTTAAAGACACACGGACTAAGTGAAAAAAAAATCAAAAATACATTTACATCATCCTTCATCCAAATATTATTACAGTGGTATCCCTCAGCTCACCTCCAAGAGCAGCAAAACTTGGATCAATATGTAAAGGATTCCAATCCCCACTCAGCCGATATAAGGCAGCCTGCAGAAACAGAGAAAGGAAAATGGGAGGCTAGCTGTGCTTGGAAGAAATGAGCAGGAGTCACTCAAAAACTTGTGACAGATTAACAAACTTACACAATCTATTTTACTAGTCCTTAGATAACATACTCTACAACAAAGAAGGCAAAATAGAAATTAAATGTTATTGTGCAGACAAACTGCCAAAGCGCCAGGGAAACATGCCAAGAACTGTGTGTGTGGTCTTGGTACATAAAATAATACAATGGCTTAATGGGAGGCAAAAACAACCTACTCTGATGACATAGAGATCCAAATTCACTGAAAGATGGCAATAGTTGAAGCAATGCACTTTCTAGAACTTGTCCATAGGTTCTTTAGCTTGAAGTGTAATTTTAAAGAGTCTTCTCCCATGACAAATTCATTCATAATTAAAAAAAAAAAGTATGAAAACTAAAACTTTTTTTCTTAAACACACACTCTACCATGCTTTTTAAACATTTGATTCATCTTCCAAAGATTAGAAATATCCTTATCCTTCCCTTCTATAGAGTAACACGATTAACTAATTATGATACATTTCTCTCTTAGCAGCATCATGGGTAGCTGGTCCCAATATTAAAACCTAACAAGCAAAACCCCAAAGTAACACAGCAAGCTTTCTAGAAGACTTTGTTTCGTATTAAACATTCTCTTTCAACTAGTAAAAAGTAGAGAAATACAGATTTACTGTATTGTATATACTGTGAATGTGAATAAACCTGAGAAATTATGAAGAATATGGCTACTGTACTTCAGTTTTCTGTCTCTGTGTGGCATAAGCATTTTCATTATCAAATCTTACATTTGCTGTATGTGTACTGTGGCCAGCAGTCCATAATACCAGATGCATGACAAGCCAACCTTTCTGGACTAAAAACATACTTCTTGGTCATCAGATTCCAGTAACTAAATGATGGTGGAGTATTCTCTAGTACTATATTCCCAAAAATACAGAGAAAATCAGTACATCACATTAACTAATGGTAGCGAAGTTTTCAATAATTTAGTAGTTTTATATGATGACATATACAAATTGAACATTAATTTAATTGAAAAAAAGCTTTTAAACTGAAAATAAATCTTACTGTAATTGGACATGTTATTGGCCTTATCACTAAACATTTAGGATGCCCTAATCATTAAACATTTTCTCCCAGCATTTTGGACTGAGATTGTAAAAAATGGTATGTGTTTATCCCAATGAAGGTAAACTACACTGTTTGGAGGGAAGAAGCTACAGATTTCTCAAAGGGAAGAAAAAAAAAAAGAGAGATTCACTAAAGGAAATATTTTCTGATATATGTCTAACACCATTTATTCTGTCAAATCTGAAACAAAGCATGGTGTAACTAAAGAGGTTCTGAACTCCTATTACCTTAATACATAATCCATTTGTTTTATTTTTAACCTGTAAACATTCAGGTCTACGTCTTCAAGGATATACAGCTTTCATACTAAATTCTAATTCTCTCTTGTTTATCCTAATAGCCCTCATCAACACAGCAAGTGTTTCGAGTCTCAGCTATGGTGGAATGTAGAAGAACTTGACACTGCTTTTGTGTGTGAGAATTGGATATATGCACTAAAACCAGCAAGCTGAATATCCTAAACTGCACCATAGCTTAAGCATGCAAACCTTAGAACGTCAAGTACAAAGCTAATACTTCTCCATGGCTGTTTATATTGCTGATACTCTTTTTGAAATACTTTTCCTTTTGAAAACAAGTACCAGTTAGATAGCATCACTGGATCTGAACTTTCTAACAAAATCTACTTACGCCCAAAACATGTATTTATTATAACTTTATTATTATTATTGTCTTCTAATTGATCCTACAAATTCCTAGGAAAATAGAAGACTGGAAATTTCATACTAATGTAAGACTAGAGTTCAGATGGGTAAGTTTGACCTTCCAAAAGGGACAAAGAAGAGGGCTAAATTGCTGAAGGAACAGACAACCTGAAATTGATCTTATAGTATCACCAAGAAGTAAAAATAGTTAAGATATCTCACCTGGTGAGAAGAATAAAGTCAAGATCTCCTAAAGGCAGTATCCTTCAGCTAGCAATCTACAAGCCAAATCAAGTGCAAAAGAGCAAGTGATCCTATGCCACCGAGGCCATTCTACAGGGCACACCCAAGGATTGTGTGGTGAAAGACACAGCGCTGGTTGAAGGTGGAAGAGAAAATCAGACTGAGATAATGTAAATATTTACACTCTACTCCACCACTAAGGCAGCTGGAGTGAAGTGATGAGTGGGAAGTGACAGCTGGAAACGGGCTAACAATTACCATCCATGGAGAGCACCTACTCCCTTCATTTACTGTTCTCTCATCTCAGTTCTCACAAAAATAGAAGAAAAACTGCGAACTAAGAGTGCCACCACACTCCCACTCACATACATAAAAAACCCACAGCAGCAGGGGTTCAGGGAAGAACATACACATTCTGCTCTTCTGAGTTGCTGTGTCTTCACTTGTCCTCAACTCTTCTCCTGAGTAGCTGTTAAAACTGTGTTTTCACTGAGGAAAGGTAGGGATGAGCACCTTTGATGTACCTCCAGCTACTTTGCTAAGAGCTGTCTAAGGCCTTAGTGCCACCAATATCAAAGTTACAACACTATGAAAGAGACTTTTAGTGAGGAACAGACCCTTAGTTCCTTTTTTCAAAAAAATTTAAAAATTTGACAATATAAAGAGTTGCTTTTGACAGAATTCTACAGACTATCACCCTTCATTACTGAAATTTTCTTTCAAGAGAGTCTAAAACCTAACAGCAAATTGCCACTCCTGAGAACTAGAAAATAAAAATTGCTAGATATGAAATAATTAAATAACTAAATGACTTTCAAACTGAATTAAAATTAATTTGAATTTTACAAAAGCTATCAGGAGGCTATTTTCATGAAGAAGCTGTTGTAATTAATTCAAACTAAGTAACATTTAGTTGTAGTATTAGAAAATTCTATTTATGTATGATTAAAAAAGATAAATTTCTCTTTTAAGCTCAAATGTCAATGTAAATCTAGCTATGCAGATGTTACTTACTAAAGCTGTAATAAGAACTAGCCATTTATTTGGGGTGATAATAAGCACTACCTGGGAGACAATAATTCTACCAAATGCTTTTCAAAATTACTGTGATAAGAATACTTGTGCTTCACTAACAAAATAAATGTAGCATTTAGGAAATAATTAGGCTCAGAGAATTAAGTGTGATCAATGTATTTAACTAAAAGTCTGATGCATGACTATGGGAGACGATACTTGTCTTTTTGTACTTTCAACAACTAAAGTGGCACTGGTCACACCTAGAAAACACATAGGATGAACTGAACACAGTAGATTATTTCCGATTCAGTGCAGCCAAGTCAGGTCTGCCAACAAACTTCTTTTCATTTACCACAGTCTCTGGTATTACTTCATTATATAGTTACATTCCACATGAGAACAGAATTGTTTTAAAGCCTTGTTGGCTCTACTTTCTATATTCCTCGAATTATGACATTTCCTGAAGTCTTGAGTGAAAGTATTAAAAAAAAAAAAAAAAAAAAAAAGTGAGGCATCCTTGGAGGATGACAAAAGTCAATTGATTCTGGGCATTAGATTGAAGTCAGGCATAATATCATTAGATTGTTCTCCAATTAATAACACAAGCTGTCAAGTCTAATTTCCTAACAATTTAGGAGTTCTGCCAGACCACAAAAGAAAAGGCGATATTCAAACTGTCTGTGCCAATTTTTCAGTCTTGCCTGCAGACTGCAATAAAGGTCAATGGTAAAGCTAATGAAAAACGAAGCCAACTATCCATTTATTTTCTCTTCTAACCAGGGAGAAAAAAAAGCTCTGCCCAAGAGCTTATCCCACCAAGTATATGTGCATGTATGTATAGACGTACATATATGTGTGTGAGTGTATCCACATATACCTTACTTAACAGCCTATTTAAGTAAGAGCAAGCAGTCAAGCAATCTCATGATGAAAAAAACAGCCACAAAACTCATCTACACATTTTAATGAGCTCTGATTTACATTAAGAACAATGAAAGTTTCCAGTTAAACTGGCAGTGCTCATGCTTCAAGGCCTGAAATTTAGCATAGTGCTTAAGTAATTCATTGCACTTAAAATTAAGCAGATACTCTTTGACTGAGATCCCCATTTGTCATATCTTCTTTATAAATCAATTATCTCTGTAAGAGTAAGACGAAATATTAGGAAAGAGCAACTGGCAGAAACCAACACATCGAAAGGTTAAAGGTTTTACATGTTCCTCCAGATAACCAACTATTTTTCTCAAAGTAGGCATATGTGGAAAACAAAACAGACTGTTCAAGTTGCTCATAATAGTTTCCAATGCCTAAATATACTTTGTGGAAATCTGGATCACACATGATTCTATTTTTTAACAAGACTTTAAGAAATAAAATGTACAACTTCCTGGACTACCTTAGGTTTGCAATTATATGTTTTTGTGGTCTGAACTATCCAACTATTGTAGTCTGAACTACTTTATTCCCTACATATCCTTGACTCCCTCGAGAATAAGAATTACTAATGTGTTCAGTTAAAACACCTTCATATACACAGCTATAAACTGGAATAGGTATAACAGGTATAAAACGGCACTACATCTTTTCTCCTTCCTCACCTCATATTATTCGTATCTCGTGTTTATCCCTAACACATAATTTTCAGATTTAAAATCAGTTTATATATCTGGCACAGGCTTCACAGAACATTAGCTATTTTTCGGTAGCAAATGTACAAGAAATCTCTCCTTTAACAGTGCCTTTCTTAGTCAAAAAGAACAAACCCACTTTGGGGAACTTGAAATGGAATAATAATTTTTATATCCTTTACTAAGACATGCATAGATAAAGGGAGGACACAAAGTCTTGGTAATGAAGAGCATCTTGTTTAAATTAAATGACTGCCATGCTAGTTACTTTTCTTCTTTTATCACCTTAACACACAAAAT